GATGCTGTAATGGCTAAGCTATGCTACTGTTACCAAATTACTCCTCCTAGTACTTCTAATACAACCGTACCGTCGTTGCCTGCATGTTCATGCATGAGTAGATGAGGTACTGAGGTAGTAGTATGCATGCAAGAGCTAGCTTGATGCATGCAGCAGCATGCATTGCATTTGCATCCACAGCCGATCGTCGGTTACTTCAAGACTCGTCGCATGCAGACGTGGCTCGCCTACGGTGGTAGCCTGTCCCTGCTGCCGCCTTGTTCTGCGCCCACTCTCTGCTGCTGGTCTACGTAGCCAGAGCGCAGCGTAATGCCAAGGTGGCGGCAAGGTGAAACGAAAAAGGTTTCTTCCTTCTCTCTCTCCCTGCTCCAGGTTCAGCGTTGCAGCGGTGGCCTGGTGGTGGTGGGGGCGGCGCGGCGATGAGCGCAGCCACAGCACTACAGCAGCATGCATGCAGATGCAGTCGCAAATTAAAAGCGAGCCGGCCGGGGGGCGGCATGCAGATTTACAGCGAGGAACGAACAGAGATTTATATGTTTAATCACATGCCGATTGGATCCACTATACTCGACGACCACCAGCCCCACCATTGCATTTGTTTGCTTTCTTGTTACATTGAGGAGGCATCTCTTTCACGCAAGATTCTAATGATCACGTGCGCCCCCGGGTTGTGGCGGGTTTGGCACGCTCGCTCGCCTCCGGCATGCACGGCCTTGTTTGGTTGCGCACACAACATCTGTGACATGTACCATCGTCTTTGGGTTAATCCACACAGTGTATATAGCAGGAACGAGAAGTAGATACTGATGAGCACCACAGCATCAACGTATGCGATGATGGTAGTCTTAGAAGAAAAGGAAAATAAAAAGGGCAAAATTTCCAGTCTTGTTTTCGATCATGTTCCGGAAGCAGAATGAGAGCTACTGTCGAAGATATATGTAGTAGCCCTTAAATTACACAATGCTAAGAAACAAAGGAAGAAAAGGGCTAGGGAAGCTCTCTCTCATAGAGTTCTAAGCAGGTTAGGAGAGGCTGGCAAAAAAAAAAAAAAAAAAAAAAAAAGAAAACAGGATGACAAAATCAAGAAAATTGCCACGAAATTTCGAAGAGCCGAACAGAAGCACACGAACTAATAAGCAAAATGGAGAGGAAAAAGAACTCCTAAGACAAGATTAGTAGTTCTTTCATATTTTTAAGGAGGAGGGTTCTTGGATTTTAGCTGATGCATTAATTATTACTGGGCTAATTGATCAACTCTAGCACAAGCTAGTAGACTCATCTAGATGAGCTGCCGGTAGTCTGCTGTCCCTAAGTGGTGGTGGATCAAAAAGTCGTCGCCGGCGGCGACGATTGGGGGCGCCGACGGCCCGTCGAACAGCATCGCGCTATGCATGCGCATCAGCCCGCCTGCAGGACCACCGCCGCCGCCGATCACATGCGGGTGCGGCTGCTGCACCACCTCCTTCTGGCGGCGCAGCTCCAGCACCTTACGGTGCGAGTTGGAGTGCTTGGACATCACGAAGGTGGGGCTCGCCGCGGGCCGGTACTCCGGCACCAGCCGGCCCGACTTGTACCGCACCCCGCACGCGTTGCACAGCGTCTTGGGGCCCATGGGCCCGGTCCTCCACTGCGGCGTCCTGTCCGTCTCGCAGTGCAGGCACCGCCGCCCTTCTGCCGACGCGGCCGACGAGCCGACGCCGCCGGGCCCGGGCTGTGCTGCAGCGGACACGCTCGAGGGCGGCGCTGCTGGCGCCGCGTCTTTCTTCTTCGACGGCTTCTTGGCGGGGAACGTCTGCGGCGCCGAGATGCCGGACTCCGCCGGCGAGATGGCGGCCATGGACGCCGGGGACGGTGGTGAGGCCGGGGTCGGCGGGAGCACGAGCAACCGTGACGACCAGTTGCCCGGAGCCGCGCGGGAGCGCTTGCTGCGGGCCTTTGCGGGAACCAGCGCCTCCGGGAGGAACATACCGGGCTGTGCCGCAGAGGCGGCGGCGGCGGCTGAAGCTGCGGCCGCAGGGGCCACGGGAGCTGGTGGCAGAGCCGGGGAGAACCCGCCGGAAATGAGCTTCAGCTTCTCGAGGTCCTCCGCGGCGAAAGTTTCCTCGCCCTCGCCCATGTAGTTGGATAGCCATTCCAGCTCCGCCAGTTGATCGTACTGCGGAATTCACAGCAACAAGTTTAGCGACCGCGAGTTCTGTATGTTTAATTTCCTTCCCTTCACTGGACATACAGGAAAAATTGCAGGCTAAACTTTGCATAATTCTCAGTTTGGTTTGGACTGGTGTGCTTGAAGTTTTCTACTTTTGGTACTGTTATTTATGTCAATTTTATGGAGTTACGGATTCTGAAGGACCAAAATTGAGTGGCTAACAGGAATCCAAATGTTGATTTCCTTTTTTTCCTTCCGGACGATTAAAAATGAAATCTTGTAACCGCACTCCTACAAAATTACAACAAAATCCGCCACCAGTGCGTCCCCATTATTTCTTCTCAATTTTCCGTTGAGCTGTTGAAGAATTAGAAGATGACACTAACAGGCTAAATTTGCCAAATGAATTCAAACAAATTGACAGTATAAATAAAACTATATACGAAAGACACAAGTTACCGGCTCGCAGAATTCCCCCGGGAAGTCGCCGTCGGCTAGCCCAGAGAAGGAGTTGCTGCAGCTGTCCTGGGCCGTGACGGTGGACGAGTCGGCCGAGAAATTGCCGGCGAGGCCGCGCTCCTCCTTGACGAGGCCTACGACTCCGTGGGCGTCGACAGGCTGCAGGCACGGCGGGGCCTCGCCGCCGTCGCCTGCCCCCGCCTCGCCGACCCCTTCCTCGTCGTCGTCGTCGTACGGTAGCGCGAGGAGGTCGTCCACGACGAAGTGGTCCCCGCACCCCGCGGTCTTCCTCTCGCGTGGGCCCGCGCCTCCGCCGTAGTACCCGTACTCGGCTGACGCCGCTGCCTCCTCCATCGTATCCCGGCCCCGGCTGCTTGCTCTCTGTCCGCCTGCCGCCGCAGCGCTGCACACTACGCGTCGTACAGCGCGCAACGTCCGCGTCTCCTGCGTTACTCGGCCGGGTTTTGTTCGTTTGCTCCCTTCGGTTTTGGACGTGTGGGCGAGGAGAGGGAGAGACGGAAACGGAAATGACGCAGAGAGAGAGAGAGAGAGGCAGGGAGGGAGTAGGGTTTAATTGGCGTGCAGCTGGAGCGCGGAGAGACGAGACGGGAGGAGGGGAGGGGGGTCAGCTGAAGCGAACGATTCTTAAGGAGTAAATAAAGCGGGAGCCACTGAGCCACCACGCCGTCCTCCTCGCTCGGCCCTCCGCCAGTTAAACACGCCAACTGGCTGAACTAGAATTTGAACTTGAAAACCGGGATAATTGGAATCCAAACACCGGCAGTTTGATATTTTCTTTTTCAAAACCAGCAGGAATAAACATCTTCCTGATCACAAAACCTGCAGGAATAAACATCTTCCTGATGATCACAAATCCTGCAGGAATGAATAAGCGTCAACTGAACAGCAACCTCGATCGAATACTGCCAATTTCACAAGGAAAACGTTAAATATACGTCTCTATCTAGTAGAGTAAAAAAAAAATTAAACAGCCATTACACGCAGGCACTTAAGTACTTATCTGATTATTACGTGACACCACTTTTGGTGACTCCACGTAACAGCAGCACGAGCTGGAGCTTTACGTTGCAGAAAGGAGCCCTGAAACGCAATAGCTACCGCGCGCGCCGGTGCATGCATGGACCGATGGACGAGACACACGGTAGATTCCTGTTGTCTCTTACGTCTGCGTGAGAACACATGCGCCTGACGAAGCAGGTGGATTTTGTGAGGCGCGGTCACGTGGAAGCCGGCCGGTAAAATTCAGGTCCCATTATTGGGATCACCGTTCGTTCTAGCGTTCCAGGTAATTAAGTACGTAAAAGCAGGTCAGGAGGGGTCTCACGTAAGTAAGTTATTTATCTTGTCCGTTTACGCCGCACCTGACACGACTTACCGCGTGGATAATGTGGCCACGATAAACCTGGGTACAGTATTTACCTTCTTCTCATAACAGCTCCAAGTGGCTAGGTTGGCAGCTTTGGCCACCATTTAAGCCAAGAGTAGTTCAGTAATTTGAACCTCAGATAGCTCATACTATAGCTCTAGTAGCTCATAAGAATATGGCTCAGCATTTTGCTCACATGAAGACTATGAAGTGGAGGGAAAAAAGTAAGAAGAGAGGCCGGGGGCAGCCGGCCGGTGCGGTTCGCCCGAGCGCAAGGCAGAGCGGCCCGGCGGCGGCCCACCGCGGCACAAAGCTACAAACAACGTCTGGCTGTGTTTGCCTGGCTCGATGCAGATTTCCTCAGCGTGGCGAGCCGAGCCATGAGAAAGAAACAACGCGAGTCTGGACTCTGGTGTTCCGAGTTGGCGAAGAGAGCTATGCTTTTAAAACAAAAAGGAACGCGGGCTGGGATAAACAACAGGCCTCTTTCCACCCATGGATTGGGCCATTGGGCCAGGATCCCCGCAGGGATTCGTGGAAATTTTGAGATGCTCATGCTTAGCAGGTAAACAAGCTGGGTCGATACACAGAACCCACAACATCGCCAAAAAAAAAAGAACTCTTATCTGACCACCGAAGCTCAATGCCTTAATGGCATCATTGCCAACGAAGAACATGGATCGAGCATTAGTAATTAGGATTTCAAAAAACACCTTCACTCACAATCTTGAAGCTTATAAAAAACACTCGATTGTCTCCACCATAGAGAACCTGGGTGTGTAGCCCCTGCTATACATCAGAAATCAGACAACACGATTTATTCAAGTAAATTATTAAATTCGGAACTAGGATGCACACAGCATTAAACTACAAATGTTGTACACGATGATTTGAATATGTATGCAGCTCGCTACAGGGCATAAAGTTCAAAACATGCACGGAAGCTACTATGCTAGTTCGCTACTGCACATACAACAAAACGAAGGTAAGAAACAGAAACCAGTTCTAACGCGGCTCTCTTGACTGAGACCTATGAGCCTGCCTGTCATCATGCCTATCGTCATCCCTGCCACCATGCATGTCATCAGGCCTATCATGCTGCCTTTCATTATCCGAAGGCTGCCTATCAAACTGTCGATCATTTCTCTCATTGTGATTCTCATATCGCCTCTCATTACCCGAATGCTGCCTACCATAATGCCGATCAGGCCTGGATGGATATCCCTCTGTGTTTGTTGGATGGTCGTATCTGCAGTCAACTTTCCAGCAGTTCCCTTTTTCAAGATATGTCCAGCAGACTCCACGTTGCTTCCATGACCTTCCGCCTGAGTCGCCAGCACTAAAAGCACCACGGTGTCCAGAGTGCCTGCCCCCATTCTCTCTCTGCTGATTATTCCAATTAGGATTACCATTTGGTGCATTCCAGTTCATGTTGTTATTTGCCTGACCCGGATTTCCATGCACAGGAGCACTCCAGCCGACGTTTTGGTTCATGTTTCCAGCTTGTTGGTTTCCCCAGGCAGGATAAGAATTTGCATTTCCTGCTGCAACACCGCCCCAAGGGGCCATTGCGACTCCTTGCATCTGACCTCCCATCATAGCAGCCGCATTTGGAGTCCCCTGGCCTTGAGTTGCAGCCCAGATCATGTTCATGCTGGTGTTTCCTGGATTTGGTAACCAACCCATGTTTGGAACTGCATTTGGCTGCGTTGGCATGGCTACACCCATGTTGTAGCCTGAAGCACCTTGAGCTGATGCTACCCAAGGCATATTCATGTTGCTCTGTCCCATCATTCCCCAACCTAAGCTTGCATCACCCTGAGGTGTATTTCCCCAGGTCATATTTCCAGTTATCTGAGATTGGCCAGGTGTGTTCGCCACTTGTGCAGGTACAGCCCACCCACTGCTTTGATTATCACTGCCAGCAATGGTTGTCAATGAAGGCTGTACTGATGCAGCAGATGGTGTTGACATCATCTGCGATGGCATCATTGAGTTGGAGAGATCAGTTGATGACATCTGGTTTCTTGTGTCTGCAGGTGATACAACAATAATGTCATTAGGTTGGCTTACACTTAAAAATCTTAGTAAGAGCAGAGAAATAAGACTGAAATCACTGGATGTGATTGAAAGTTAAGGAAACAACAGAATCTGTGATTTCTAAAAGCAAAATTGAAAGCAAACATGGCACAAACAGCAGGCAAGCATTGAGCTAATACCTTCAAGTTGCTGAGTGTTCAGTTGTGCTGGTCCAAGCTGTGCACCCAGTTGTCCGATAGCTGCAAGGGACAAAAAAAAATGTTTACATCAAATACAAACATTTCTGTACTACAATTTCCAGATCTCAAATGCATCGCCACCTATTAACATAAAATAGTGGAGTTACGATCTAAACAAGTCAGGCCAATTTATATCCCACAAATTTGGTTCCAGTTTCACAGTTCTGGGCACAACTCGGGGGATCTAAATGGCGATTAACAGATTTCACAGAAACAGGAAAACCTTTTATAAGGGCCTACCTTCAGCTGAAGAGCTAACTCTTCCATGTGAAACATCTTCTCCTGATTTGGATTCAATGCCATCAGCTAATCTGTCATCCGTTTGCGGTAAAGAAGATAATATTTGGTTCTGGGAGGTCAAATCTGCATTTGCAGTTGCAGGAGCCATTCCAGGAGTTAAATGACCCATATTTTCTGCAGCAACAATATTTTGTCCCGAATAGCTTCCCATGGCAGGCTGGGTAGGTGTCACAGCATTTACTGCAACCCCAAACTGACTAGACGTAGCATTCCAACTTCCAGTAAGAGATTGTTGGCTTGTGTATGCTGCATGAGAATTTTGCATCCCATAATAACCTTGTGTGCCCGAATGTATCATGGTTGTTCCAAGGTTCGTTGAACTATACTCATGTCTTTGATCACTACTTGAGAAAGACTTTGCAACTACTGATTTTGGAGTTTGTTCGCCAGCTATTGGGATTTGCTCAAGAGGGGTTTTGTTAATTTGAGACAAACTAACATGTGGTGGTTCCCATGGAGGAAGGTCTTTCTCAAACTTCCCTGCCAAAGCATCAGTCAATAGAATGGAATCATCCTGCTTCTCACTAGCTTTCCATATCTTCAAACTGGGAGGGAAGTACCCATTGCTGTTCCATTTCCGCAGCTGTATGATTGAGAAAGGACCTTGGATTTTATTAGAAGGATCCATGTACAGCCAGATCTTCTCAGAGTCATTAATGGCTGATTCAGGTGCAGTTTTTGCCCCAGATGAACCAGGTGACTCTTGTGGAGCACTGCGCGTGGTGCCTTCCAGTTTAACTGTTTGTGCACCAATGTTCGGGCTCTCTGATTTACTTGTATAACCAGCACTTTCGCCTTGAGAAGAAAATGTGGACCTCCGTGAAAGGGGTGATTCCATATGAGAACTTGATTCAGCCCATGTGTTTCGATTAGATTCCCAGTTAGTTTTTGGATCTCGCTGTACAGCATTTCTACCATCTCCTTTACCTGGAGACACAAGATTACCATCTTTCCTCGAGAAAGAACCTCTGGACTTATTGAAGCTACCTGTACAATAAAAATTATGGAAGTTCATGTCAGAGTTGTAATAATAATATCAGAAGATGATACTATGGGAGGGAGTAAAATACTTCTTTCAATTTCCTGCTCCTGTTCCTCCGGAGATTCATAATATGGATCCATCGCAGGGTCAGCATGTATTTCAGGTTCTTCATTCAGCCTACGAGCACGCTCCTCAGGAGTGCTTAGCAATTTCAGCTTCTCTACACATTCCCTAAGCGTGAATACTGATTAAGGTATACAAGCCAATTCACATAAAAAGAAAGAACAATCCTCACAGAAGCTTCTTCCAGAGAAAAAAAAAAGCGTAAAGCCTACTGACGGAAGTGGCAGAAGCAGATTAACTGACCATAAGCACCAGTAGAAATTAACTATACTGATAATGTATAATGCTGCTTTATAGATGAAAACAATAATGCATGAAAAAGGATATTCTTTTCTATGGCCCATATCACTTGCACGGTCACGAAGATGCCCAAGTCGCATCTTTTCGCTTTCAATCCACTGAAAAGTTTGTAATTGGCAGTAAAGTCAGTAAAATAGAATTACTTAGCCACAAAAAACTTTTATAGTTTGTTAGGAGGAGCTGCTTACATCATTGACTTTTAGAGTTTGGAGAACCCTTGCCTTCTCCTGAACCTCTCCCTGGAGGATAAGATAGTTAGACAAAAGAAAACAGCGCAGAAATAACACAAAAATGTGCAAGAAACACTCATAATAAGTTAATGATAACTTTACCACTGTCAGTCTTGGAATGAACCCATACTTTATGCTTTGACGCAAGCGTTTGCACTCCTCCTAGAAAAGAAAAAACAATTGCAAATCAGAAAAAACATGAAATTTGAATGAAATAGAGTAGCAAATTTAATGATCAAGTGCATGTTTGTATCCATGAAGTCAAGTAGCAAGGTCAAGGATCTTCCAACAGCAGTTAAAGTTAACAGTACTCAAAGTGAAAGACGGCCTTATACTAGATTTTAGTAAACTGTATAATACTAATAAAACTATTATTAAGTTCAAACTGAGAAGAAAAATACCTCAGTGAACTCCTGGTTTGAGATTATGTCAATAGTTACTGCCTCCCGCTTATCTAAGTTTAGTATCTCTAGCGTTATATCAGTAGTCCTTTTCCCAAATTTATATTTTTCTGCAGATTTTCCAGTCCCTGGAAACAATAGAAGGAAATTTAGTATGATGCAGTTAAGACAAACAATACAAATTAGGAAGTAAAACAACCCTTACCAACAATTTGTACAAGTCTATAAATGTCTTGCCTTTGCCCTGTACCAGGTATTCTTATTCTCACAAATGATCCAACAACTTTCTCATCAAATGTGTCGACATCACCAATCAATTCTTCCATTAGGTTGCGACGTAAGTACATTAAGCCAATGTTATGGTTATCTATTGCCGCATAGTCATCAAGATTAGGCTGACGTCTCAGGTCATACTTACGTGATTTTCTTCTTTTTTCTGAACTCATAACAACTGAAGCTTCACTGTTACCATCAGCATCCTGACTAGGATCAGGGTCTACTACACCACCATGATTTTCATCAGCATCAATTGGTGAAACCTCACTCGTGGGAAAATGTGATTCAAGAAGCTTAAGCATCTCAAAATGCCCAACACGGTCTTTTGAGAAGAGACTTTGGAGCAAAGAATCACAAATTATCTGGCTTTTCCGACGAGGATCACGCAGATTGTTGCGTTTGATATAGTTAAGTAAAAGGGGTTGAACGTCATACTGACTGATCACAGATTTATCACCATTTCTCGCATGATATACAAAGTTTATGAGCTCCTTAGAAGCCCAGTTGGCCTCTTCAGCTGAGGATGTAGATGTCCCAACACTTTCAGAGTCTTTTGATGAATGCTGGCTGCTCAAAGAACGCCTGGACAATTTTCTAACCTTTTTCCCTGAGGAAGTCTGAGCATCATGAATGCCTGACAGGCCTCGTTTGGCAGATTTCCTAGTGCCCTCTTTTCCTTCAGAACTCTCCTCGATGGCAGCTTGTTTAGATCGCTTCCTTCCCCTCTTTTTTGGTGTATTGTTTTCTAGATGACGCCCTGATGAACTCTCTGAATTAACTTCTTCGTCATTAGTATCAGGTAATTCTCCACTCTTTTGAGACTTGGCTGCTGATATTTCCTCAACTGTCAATGACAAGTTTGTCTTCAAATGTAACCAATAGTCCTTGAACAAATACCACCAGCTGCTTTTGTCATCAAAATCCACCTCCTGTTAAAACAAATTTTCATAAGACAAAATTCCACAAGTATAAAAAACCTACTGTAAAATCAATAGGGTTCCCTTCACATGAACTACAACAGATTGAGAGTAATACACACCAACGATAAGCTAGATTGATAGAGGAACAGGAAAAAAGAACAAAGTCGAACATACAATAACCAACCTGAAAGTTTTCCAAAATAGTCGTAATTACTACAATAGCTGATGTTGTTTAATAAGAATTTGAAACAGGGCCAAAGGGCGCCTAGCTCAAACGGTTAGGTGACCCAGCGGCACTCCTTAGGTCCTGGGTTCGACTCCCCGTGGGAGCGAATATCAGGCTGAGGTTAAAAAAATCCCCTCGCCCGTCCCCATAACCAAAGCACTAGGGGGCACCGGCCCAATTCTCACTTGGGCGATGGAAAGCCACCGTGTAAGGGTGGCGGCGGGGGTTCGGGGGTTTTCTCGGCCGGGTGAGAAGGTCCTTCTTCTTATTTGAAATGCTGCGGGGGCAGTCTTAACCCCCCCGGTCGAGTTTTTTTTTTTTTAGAATTTGAAACAGGGTAGTACTTTGTGCATCATGTAAATGCTTTGTAACTCAGTGAAACTGCATGCCTCTAATGTTTATTGGTTTGCCAAAATAACATTTCCAACTATAAATGAGTAGTAATTGTGGTAAATGACAGGATTATCTACCCACAGCTGTAACCATATGATGCATGGTACCATTCTCTGTGGCTTATTAATCAATTGCGACTCTCTATGTAATTTATGCATGATTGAGTATGATAGCAGGTAGAGTTTAAAACTTGAAGTAGTGTTCAACTAAGATCTAGTCACAGTATCACACTTGCACCCCTGTAGTCACATTTTTTATGTTGCAGTGTTTCCAAGTTGCAGCATACATGTCTCTTCTTTCCAAAACACACACGAACATATTTAAGGTCCCATTTGAATGTAGAAATTCTGTAAGAAACTTAAATAAAGGGGAACTCTTAATTGTGCAGAATAGAAAAAAAACAATAATAACTTAGTGCCAATGGATATAAATGCATGGAACACCATCCAACATTGTCATGGTCTACTCCAGGAAAAACTAAGTGATGCTCTGGTAAGCATGCAGTCAAGCCTTCCATACTTTTGCTATCTATTCTGGCATTTTAGGTTGGACACACAAAGGAGACATTTGCCCTACCGGAATTTTATATAGACAAATATATACAGGAGGCAATAGTAGTCAATATTGCATTTTAGGGGCACTATGGATGACCAAAATACCATTTATTTGTGACTAAAGAGTAGCAAACTATAAAACTATTTAGCATCGGTTCCAAAACACAATTCTGACTACACAGCGAATTGCCTACAAGTTGGATTGATCCATTAGATTTGACCAAATCAAATAAAAAGTTCAAGCATGGATCAACAACTTAATTGTAGCAGGGGGCATGGGCATTGTGGAACTTTGAACAGAAGGAATCTTTGATGGGGCCTCTCCCTCCTTGTCATCAGCACTTCAATTCTTCAGAGAGGAGGCTTGGCTGGAGCTACAAAGCTCCAGCCTCCAGGAGCTGGCTATGGTCGGGTAGAGAGGTTGGTTTAGGTAGCAGGCCGGTTGTGAGCCCCCTGCTGAGGTCAGTGTTGTTTTGTTATGGGCAATTAGACCTGGTTGTATTTTTATTTTGCAACCTTCTTCGGCCTCCTAGAGGACTTTAAAGTGGCTGCTTTGTATGGGACACTTTACCTCCCTTTTCTCTCTAATATAAAAGATGCACAGTTTTCCTGCGCTTCGAGAAAAAAAAAACTCAATTGTACTGGGTCACTTCTATAGAACAGATACTGGGAGAACACGGCAAAAACCAAGAAGCACCTTGCATGCCTGGTCTAAATCATTTGCATGGAAAAATCATATAAAACAATAAAGCGGTGACCTCAGTGCCATAAATAAGAAATACAAAAACATAATGATAAAGAAAATAACTAGACTGAGGAAATTAGAATGGTGAAGAAGGATACCATTGGGTCCGCAGCCTCCTCTCTATTCTCTATCAACATCACAGTGTTCATGCACGTATCACAAAAGCCCTTATTTTCTCTGATACAGCTAAACTTTGCATCCTTCATGCATGCCTTGCATAATGAAAAGGTGCATGTGTAGCACATATGGCGGGCAGGTTTCTGACAGTTGCTACAAATGTGCCACCCTGGCAGCAAAGTAAATATGATCAAATAAACCCTGAGTCCTTGTTTCAGAAGCTAGAATAACAGAAAAATATCAGGTTTTAGAAGTAAGCTAGCATCTAAGAGTGTCCAGCGCAAAAACTAAACATACTTCCTAATTCATATACAGCAAGAGATAACATACTTTCATCCATATAAGTTAAACAAATCAAGACTGATTTCACAAGTCTCAATGTTCAGGAACAAATAAAACATTCTCAAGTACAACAGTTCTGTGGACAACAAGATCTCACAGTTGCTCAATCCTTGAATTTTAACATGCAGTTAACGTTTAGAATATGGTTGTTTAAGGAATTAAGGCTCTAGTCATCCAGTGGGAGCAGATATGCAGTGACATTTCAAAATTTTCAGTTCCAGGCAGGGGAAGATGCGTTAAAGCTGGAAACTGGAAAAGAATTACAGGTTCTCAGACAAGTCATAAAACAATGGTTTTACTGTTAATGATGCTGGTCCCTCATTTAAATATATTTGGAAAGGAAAAATTCCAGCAAAAATCAAAATCTTCTTATGGCTAATGGAAAACAATGCTGTGCTAACTAAGGATAATATGATCAAGAGGAAGTGGAAGGCGAATCCCCTCTGCTATCTTAATATATACATATATTATGTACATTAATAAAAAAAGGGCGTACCCAGTGCAGAGAGCTCCCGCTCTGTGCGGGGTCTGGGGAAGGGTGTCAGTGGCAAGCCTTACCCTCGCCTGTGCAATGCGAGGAGACCGCGACTCGAACCCGGGACCTTCCAGTCATAGGCGGTAAGACTCTACCGCTTGCACCAGGCCCGCCCTTCTATATTATGTACATTAATATATACATGTAATATGTACAATTGTACATTATGCAGTAGGCCCACAATGGTAAATGAAAGTGGCTAATTATTGAATAAAAAGCCCTTTTAACCCAGTAGTAAAGCAATGCCATGTTAAGCCATAATCGGTTCAAATCTGATAGAGGGTTTTTCAGTTAGTGCTAGACAGAAGTCATCAGTTCTGTGATCAGGAGGAAAGCATCTCTCACCTCTTCTTTGTTTGCCCAGTGGACAAAGTGGTGTGAATAATTGTGGCTCGAAGCCTTGAGGCTGATGACAGACCCAAAAACTTAGCTCAATGTTGAAAGTGGGCTAAGAAATGGTTACCTAATGGTAACAAGTTCCATGCTTTTGGGATTGCTGCAATTTGCTGCGCAATCTGGAAAACAAGGAACGAGGCTTGCTTTGCTTGTGCGTTTATGCGATACTGGGCAGGTCTGTATCTGGCAGAGATTCAGGAGATAATGGTTGAGAGGGTGAATATCATGCTACATGTCGCCACAAGATTGCTGGCAGAATCAGCTTTCTTCGGGCCAGGCGATGCTGCAGCTGGAGGACGCACCTTGAAGGGGTGAAGGCAAGAATTGAAAGCTTCCTGAAAATGGTGTGGCTCCAATCAGCTGGAGTTGCCAAGTCACAAATGTTGTGAACTTTGCATATGGATGTGTGCCCTGTGATGTATGAGGGAGTGTGTTGCACCGGCCGAGCGTTAAACTTGGTTGGTTTGGTAGTCAGTTGTATCATTAGCTTTTAGTCCATGTTTTGCAGGGCACCTATTCCTCTCCTGCCTGACAACTGAAGCGGACTATCGGTCCAGACAAGGGTGGCAGCTGTTTGTTGTCCCTAGCTCTTTCATCATCTAGTAGGTTCTCGAACATCTGTATTTCTGTTGTGATTAATGGAAATGGGGTCGAGCTCGGTTCGGGAAAAAAGGAACAGATAAAACATTCTCAAATACAAGCTATGATACTACGAACAGGGACATCGTGTGATGACCAATGTTGCGGGATCAGTGTAAAATTTATACAAGTTAAACAAATCAAAAAGAGCATATAGAAAGATTTAACGAATCTCACTGTTTACGAACAAATAAAACATTTTCAAGTAAGCTATATGATAGTAAGAACAGGGAAATCACATCATGACCAATGTTGTAGGATCATTATAAAATTATAAATTCCATATTTCATACAATGATACAAGTTAAACAAATTGAGAAGAGCATAATAGACAGGTTTCACTAATTTCATTTTCCTAAGTTAGCTATGGCGGTAAGAAGAAAACTGTGAGACGGTCAACATTACAGGATCATTGTAAATGTACCTTAAAGAAATCATGCATGTCCACATGATTCAAATGCAAGAATGTATGTAAGGACAGCGAGGGTTGGTCAGACAAAATTATTGCACATACCACAGTTCCACCGACCCTTTGACTTGAAGAAGTCATCATCGCGATTAACACAAGAAGGATGGTAAGCTTTAGGGCAGCCCCTGAAATGAGGACATATAAATGAAGACATGATCAACCCAAAGCTGTAACATGTTTGATCTTCCATATTTTGGAATAATAAAGAAATAAAGAAACTCCATGTGATGCACAAACCTACGATCACAAATCACAAGGTCACCACCATCAAAGCAAATGAAGCAGACCTCCTCCTCATCCTTCCTTTTTACAGATGGTTTCACCACAGCCTGTACCTTGGAAGATGGACGGCCTCTCTTACGACGCCCTCCACCTTTCTTTGCCACTAAAGGAGGAGGCTCATCGTCATCATCGTCATCATCCATATGCGCAGCCTCTTCTTCAGGGACATCATCACCAGTTATGTCATTGACAGCTTCTGCAACATCTTCACCAACAATTTTGTTGTCTTCATCATCATCGTTAGTTGTGGCAGCTGCCTTCGTCAGTATGGCATTTTCTTCCACTCCATCGTGATCAGCTGTCACAACCTCTTTCAGCCCATTATCATTGCCAATCAAGCCGGCTCCCCCCATTTGGAGACCCTCTTCTTCAGGGATATCATTACCAGCCTTGTCTATATGAGCAGCCTTTTCTTCAGGGACATCAATACCACCCTCGTCATTTACAGCTTCACCTGCAATGTATTCAACAGCAATTCTGCCTTCCTCAACCATGTCTCCAGTAATGTTTACTGCATCCACCTGCATGCCTTCCTCTTCCACACGATCCTCATCAGCTGTTGCAACTTCCTTTTGCTCATTATCATCTCCAGACAGTCCACCCCTACTCATTTGTATTCTCTCATCAGGCACATCAACACCGACTGCCCCATCATGTTTCTCACTATCATCTCTGGTCGTGGTAACTTCACCCATGTGCTTGCCCTCCTCATGTGTGGCAGCGTCAGCAATAGCGCCAACACGTTCTGCCTCGCTGTCATCTCCAGTTTGGATCTGCATATCCACATTTGCGCAGTCCTGTACAACATGGTCTCCAGCTTCCACAAGCTCTGTTTCCACCTCATTTAACAGAGCTGTAGCCACATCTAAATGTGGGCTTTCCTGATCCTGAGCATGCACGTGATCATTAGCTGCAACATCCATATACATCCTCGCACTGTCATCTTGTGCATCATTTACCAAGGGAGCGACCACATCAGCGTCAAGGGAGTCACCACCAAACTCCTGATCAGTTTGGTCATCCGACCTATGCACACCTCCAGTGAAAACTATATTGCAGTCATCATTAACCAGGCAAGCAGCCACCGCTGTGTGATCCTCTGCGGATGATACCAGGGCACCACCCGCCTCTATGAGATCATCCGCAGCAACACTAACCTCTTTGGTTTGCATGCCAACCTCCATGAGATCATCCACCAGTGTGGAGGATGACACGGCAGCACCCACCTCTGTGAGAAGATCCACAGCAGCACTAATGCCATTTGTTTGCCCCTCTACATCAGCACCCTCCTCTGGCTCGTCAGCCTTAGCAACATCGGGTTGGTTGGGGTCTTCAGAAATCCCCACGAGCTCATCTGCAACTATAACATTGCCACCTTCAACATAACAAGTTCCGCCATCCTTCTGACCCTCAATAGCCTCAATATCCTTGTAGCCCTCGCCTAGCACAACATCCGGCGTTGTCCGCATGGCCTCCTCCATTGCAGGAGGTGGCTCAGCGTCGGACATGCTGATTCTACAGTGGAACAGTGCCAGACCAGGATTTGGGTGATTGGGTATTCCCAACCATTGCTAGTACACACCGTCTGGTGGACGTGTGCGCGCGGCGCTCGAGCTCAGCCCCGGGAGGCCGGGACGCCGGATGTTGCCCGCCTCCTCTGCTTCCGCTGGCGCGCTGCAGAGTTCGCACGCTCGGCGGTAGCCGCACAGTCGCCGCCGTACGCTTGCTGCAGCCTCGCGCTGGGCGATGGCCGTGCGGTAGCACCGTCGCGGCGTTGCGCTTGTCGGCCGCCGGTGCCTGCCCTACCGGCTTCCCTAGGGTTTGTGAAGGGGGGATTGGGGTCGACTCGGAAGGAGAGACCGAGACACGAGAGCGGCAGGCCGCAGGAGAGATCGAGCTAGAGGCGACTCGAGATGATGTAGGCGCCGAGTGGGCTGTGGACAGTTGGGATACGGCTTGCTGCGACGGCCCGACGGCCCATGGATTTACTCGTGTCGGACATTGTCGAAATGTCACGGACTTAATTTTTTTATTTTATAGGTTGAAATTCCCTCAAAAAATATTTTATAGGTTGAAATTTTATTAGAAAATCGTTTTTGCAAAAAAAGGAAATAAAATCTATACTATATCTATCAATCTAATCTACAACTATTCTATATTCGATTCTATCTATTATTATATAGAGAGAGCAAAAAAATATAAATATCTATCAAGTAATAGATTCATACCCACCTCATGTCTCAGAGTAGCGTGTGTTTGATAGAAATACCAGTTGGGTTGGACCCAGTTTCTTACCATGTGTTTGGCTTGCGGCTTCAAGTGGGATATCCCGGGTCCATCCCAGAAGATCTGCGGTTTGGATTGAGGGTTGGATGAAACTAGGTCCAACCCATTAGGGAATATGCTCCTACATGCAGGTTGGCCTCGTCCCTCCAAATCGAGGGGACCGAGCCAACCCGATTGGATGATGTCGCTCTTCGTCTCGTAGCCATGGGCGTCGTGAGTGTCTGTCAGTGTGTGGTGGTAAGCCTTGGTCAAAGGCGATCACATTGGGTGAAGTTGGTCATGGGTCGAGGTGACATTGACATTGGCGCATTGGCGAGGCGCCATGGCGTCAGGCGCGGCGGGTGTGCAAGGAGGCATGGATTGTGGCTGGGGTGGGCTGGAGAGGCGGGAGGCGTTGGCGGCGGTGCCTATCTTGAGGGCAAGCAGAGGAGGCAGGCGTCGCCATGGCTATTGGGGCCAGCTTGATGATGAGGCGGGGGGAGAGGCAGTGACCGCTAGGGTGGCTATTGACGGTAGTTAACATTCATCACAAACCATCAATATAACTTGTATAAATGGCTAAAATGAATCACCAATGTAGACTTAGGGGTTTAAACCATAAAGCTGCCAAGGAGGATCTATTCGTCAAAATAAATTACGGAATTCCGCTATGTAATCGACGTGGGAAGACTTAGAAGACTCCAGAAGGCGAATCACCAAAGCGGGACATGTGTCTCTGACACGTGGGTCCGCCCGGCCCCTGTGGGTCCTACATGTCAGCCTCATTATTACGTCGGTTCTTCACCACCTTAGGGATTGCATCTTAGCCGTTCTTTAAGTCGGTTTGATCCAAGGGAATGCTTCAGACTATATATACTAGCCTGCACCCCCCCTCCAGGGCATGTCTCATTTGATCCTGAGAGCTGAGAAGCCAGAAACTCTAATATATATGTCCACCAGGATCAGAGCTAGCAATCAAGAGAAGATTAGTCATCAATAGAATCTAGTCTTGTATTAAAGATAGTGAGATAGAGTGAGAGAAAAGAGTTTGGAGGGGTCCTGGCCTATCGGTGCTCTTTCTACAGCTTGTACCTTGGCAGAATCAAGTTTTTCTTGAGCTTGCTTCTAAGATTTCTCTAGTAATCAACTTTTAATTCAAGTAAGCATCTTGTTTATATTGTTCTTTAGGTTTGTGACTCTCTTTTGAATACTTTAACCCTTGTAACTCCTGGGTTAAAGTAGTATTCGTAGTGTAAGCGTGGTGCTTAGACTTGTTTACTCGTGGATGTACCATATTTTTGGATCGGTGGTAATTTACGAGGGTGACTCTTATAGCCTCGTTGAATCCTTTGTAGTCCACCTCCCGTTAGTAGGCCTAGTAGGATTTTGTTACTATAGGAAACACACTCTGTCTGTGTTTTTTCTAGTAATATCCCCAGAATTGAATAATAGAAGACAAAACTTATCAAAGTTAGAACTACAAGACCTTAGCAGTCTCTCCTACGCTCCTATTATTTAGCCTTGATTGTGAAGTTGAGATAAGTTAGATTTTGTTATTCTCACACACGTTTCCTCGAATTCGATATAAAACTGGGTACTCCCGGTGAAGTGCTACATCGGTATAATATCCGTGCGCTTGCGGATTATTTTGTGTGCATTAATTTATACCAACAAGCATTTCTGGCGCCATTGCCAGGAAAACGGTTGCTGACAATGGATCATTATTCTTATATCATTATTTTACCAATAAGCATTTTTGGCGCCATTACCAATAAGCATTTCTTGTATCATTATTCTTATATCTTTTATTTTTCTTTTTACTATGGATCTAGAATCCACCCTTATCTACTAATATGGTGCACCTACGAGCGTAAGCCTATAGCCAAAAGAGTCTTCAAAGCCTATCCTAACACCTGGCTATGAGCTGCGCCCGCATTTAATCAACATGATTCAGAATCAACCCGTTTTGGGCAAAGATGATAAAAATCTATATTCCCACCTAAATGAGTTTGAACGGACCTATACATGCTTGCGCATTGCGGGCATGTCAGACGAAACCTTACGATGGAAGCTTTTTCCCTTCTCTTTGACGGGAAAAGCTAAATGTTGGTATAATCTCACCATAGGGAGTAGACAAGGTGATTGGAGGCCCTGTGTTCTACCTTTTGCTTGCAATTCTTTTCCATTTCTAGGGTAGTCAGATTTTGCTCAGATGTTCTATCTTTCAAACAATAAAAATAAGGATCTCTAGGCACGGCATGGAAACGCTTTAATACTCTTATTAATACTGGTCCTGACCTTGCCATTCAAGACCATATTCTTCTTCAACACTTCTATATGGGTCTTGATAGAAAAACCTCGAAGCTTCTTAATACAGCCTCAGGAGGCTCATTCTTGCATGTCTTCGCCAATGCGGGGAGAAGCATTCTTACAAAAATCTTAGAGAACATTACTGAAGAAGTAGAAAAGAAGCCATTAGAGAAAGAATCACAGATAGCTGAACCCGAATCTTTACCAAACCTATCACCAACTTTAGCTATCCCAAATCCTTAACCACCGAAAAAGGAGGAAACTCTGATTTTGGACTTTATGCTTGAATTCGAGGATGAACTTTTTGATGAATATAAAAATATCTCGAATTACCATACCATGAGGAGACCCCAGAAATCTAGGAAATCATCATCCAATGAAGAACCTTTAGACTCTTCTGAAGAAGCTTTCCTTAAAAAGACTACGAAAGAGCTAGTGTCTATTATAAGTAATGAATGGTTAGAAACATCAGAGCTTTCCTCTGATGCGATTCGTTTAGATTCACCTTCTATATCCATTCGTTGCCAAATTAATAAAGCTTCTTTCAATGCTCTTTACAATCATGTTGTGGGTGTTAATATTATGTCTGCATCTTTTGCTCTTGATTTATTAAAACACATGTCATTGACCCCAACAACAAAGTTACTGAAAAGTCTTTCAGGACACATTCTCCCGAGTTTGGGAATTTTATATGTCCTCCCTATCTAGGTAAAAGGAACGAAGGTTCATCTGAGCTTCTATATCTTTGATATTATGGAGTTCGACCTATTGATAGGATAATCAATTGAAAGACTTATCCAACAAGGCCACACAGGGAAGTTGAATATAAGACTTGAGAAAAACTTTAAACTTTCTATACGCATTACTCATTCCCTAAATACTGAGAGTGAACCAATTCCCGAGGAAGATCCAATGGAAGAGGTTAAGGTTGCATCTCTTGATAATTTGATTGAACCCAACCTTAAAGACGATGCCCAGCTCCTAGCTGGTGATTTCAATTTTATTAGGTCTGCCGAGAACAAAAACAAGCCAGGAGGGAACTTAGGTGAAATGCAAATGTTCAATGACTATATTTTAGGTTTGGACCTTGTTGAGCATCCTTTCAATGACAGAAATTTTACCTGGAGTAACATGCAGCCTGACCCCCTCCTTGTCAAGTTAGATTGGGTTTTTTCTTCTGACTCTTGGAATCTATCCTATCCTAGCACTTTGATTCAAACATTGTCTAGGCCAATTTCAGATCACATTCCCTTTGTAATACATAATGACAGCTGCATTCCAAAGTAAAAAAATTTTAGGTTTGAGAATTTTTGGATACAGCACCCTGGCTTCAAGGAAATTGTTGAGCTACATTGGAAAAACTCCCCTGTTTATGGCAATGTAGCTAGGAACATTTCTGCCAAATTTAAACAGGGAAGGACTGGACTCAAAGCTTGGGCCAAAAGTTTATCCAATCTCAGTAAGCTCATACACAACTGCAATTGGGTCTTACTCCTCTTAGATGGACTAGAAGATCATAGAGCTTTATCTCTCTTGGAATTAAATCTCAGAAGCCTTGTAAAGAGTCATCTTTCATCTCTCTTAGAATCTAGGAGAACTTTTTTGGAAGCAAAGAAATACTATTAGATGGGTGCATGTGGGTGATGAGAACACCTCTTTCTTCCACAACATTGCCACCGTTTCTCACAAGAAGAACTTCATAACTCCTCTCTCTTATGGTGACCTTTTCATTACTGATCATGATCAAAAGGCACAATTTTTGTGTGACAATTTTAAAAATAGAATGGGTATTAGTGAATTCAATGGTATCTCATGATTTGACCTCCCATCTCACTACTTTTCCCATGGATCAACTTGAAAGGATCTAACAATGCCTAGAGAGGGGTGAATAGGCATATCTAAAAATTAATTGTAAATGCTAAGTTCAAATTTG